CCTCAGGCCAGAGCTCTAAGGACATAGACCTATCTGGCTCCGATCTGGCTGGCGAGGCTTCCCGCCGAAACACACCAGCCCGCGGGCTTTCCAACTGCCCTGCCCTGGGCTGCTTCCTCTCCCTGTTACCTAAGGTTCACCTGCAACAGTTGTTCACCTCCCTTTGAAAGCACCCGCACTCGGGCTAGGCGTCTTGCCTCTCCCTCCTGGTGCCTCCATTCCAAGGCTCCACTCCAAACCCCGTCTCCTTAAATCTCGTCCCACTCACCACATCTCCCATACATGCCTTCCCCTCCTCCCCCGAACTCCCGCTGGTGAATTTACCATGCCCAGGATGTGATGTCATGTGATGTCCTCCCCCCTAGCTGTTTGGCGGCATCTGAGCACGCCGCGCATATGCATGCTCCAGTTCGCCACTCCCCATACAGGGCCAGCGCCGGTAGCGCACCATCACACCAGGGCACAGACTGAGAGATGCATTTTCCAAAGACATCCCTTGGAAAGCAAAATTCAGATGATCTGGTTGCAGAATCCTCTACTCCAGCAGCACTTTAACAACATCTTTGGAAATGTAGTTTCTTGCCACCAGAATCAGCAATATCTATGATGAAGAGTCACAATAGTCAGAAACTGTGGGCAGGGGAGGAGAGGAGAGGAGAAGAGCAGCAAACCATTTAAAAACAAAACTTTTATTATTAGATTTAATAATGCAACGTGAGCTTCCGTTCCCTGTCATAGATCTGATCTACATTAGTCTGTGGTTTTATTGGCCTGACCAAGACTAATTTTGGGCTGAAAACCTGAAATGATTATGTCTAAATAAAGCTGCGGGGAATGCTAAATATCATTGATCAGTTTCCTGTACAATCAGAGCTGTGCTTCGTGGATGGATTATTTAGCCATTGTGAGCAACACTGACACTCCTTGACTGCAGAGTCTCAAGAGTGCAGCAGACCATCTCTGCTGGCCTGGTTGGGGAAGGAAGACTTGAAGAATGAATTATGGTCCTGCCCCTTTTAGGTTAATTTGCACTCCATGGGGATGTGTGGAAAAAGCAGTCCCTGCAGTTCCTCAAACACAGTCCTTGTGTGGGGTGGAAGGTCCTGCCCCATGTATACCCATGCATAGACAGGTACAAACAATCTACCCTTGAGCTGTCCTGTCCCCCTGTTACCTGACCACAGAAGTTAGTGTGATAATCAAGCTCAGTCAAATGCATTATCTGAGTAAGGCTCTCAGACTTCTACAGCAGATGAACTCAGCACAGAACAGTAGAGTAGCTCTGCTAATTTGCCATTGTGTGAAAAGATGCATTTTCCGTGATTTGTATAATTTGATGATTTAAAGCTTTATTTATAAACTGGATCAGCCACTGTGGATAATGGTACATTTCATAATTCAGTGAAATAATTCCATCTTAGCCTTTTAATCATTCCCACTCATTTGACACTGCTGAACAGCTGGCTCTTTTAAAACCAGTATCTCCGGGCAGATTGTTATAATGAAGGCACAACTCTACACCAAAAAAAGGATAAGGCTGTGAAATGATGCAAACCAACAGAATCCAGGAACCAAAAGCTGAGGCTGATGCTCTGTTCATTACCCTCACTATGTTTTATTTTAAAAAATCCCCATGAATGAACAGAGCAACAAAAGTGAGACGCAAAAGGTTGTGGTTCACTTTTTAATAAAAAAAAAATACTCTTTTGATACCTTTGCACTCATAGAGGCATTTCCTGCTTCACTGAAATCAGGAAGTATCCTACTGGAAACCAGTTAGTTCTTTAGGGTTTTCTAGCCAAATCCCTACATCAAAGAGACTGAGATATCAGATAAGAAATTACACTTTATTATGTTTTGCCTGACCAAACCATGACACTGCATGGTGGAGAGGCTGATTTAGGGGGGAATCATAGCATGATTAAGCAACGATGAAAGGGAGTGTAACTGACTACAAATACTGAAGGGGCTAAACACCAAAGAACAGATTTTCAGTGGTCCTAGAATAGGAAAGTGGATACAAAGGAAACCTTTATCTTCCTCTGCAATCCCCGTGGAAAGGCAATGGGCAGTTACAGTTACAGTGCTCAGGCATGATCCATAGTCCACTGAGGTCAAGTCGGAGTTTTCCATGACTTAATAGGCATTGGATTATCTCCACTAAGCCCAAAGATTGCGCGCCTCATGTACCTCTGAAAGCAAGTGCTTGGAGAGAAGAAGGGGGCTAAGCTTCATTCCCCAAATCACACCTGCCGATAGAGCTGAAAATGCTTATTTCAGCAGGCTGCATACTTCTGCCTGCCTGCTGAGGATGTATGTGTTCTCTAAGGCTATATCTACACTCCCTCTTTTTTGCGGAAAAGGCAATGCAAATGAAGTGCTCATTAGTAATTTCTCGCACTTCATTTGCATACTCTCTTCCGACCTGTTTTTTGCACAAGAGGTTTTTGCACAAAGTGGACCCATTTACACTGATTGTTTTTGTGCAAAAACCTCTTGTGAAAAAAGCATCGGAAAAGAATATGCAAATGAAGCAAGAGAAGTTGTTAATGAGCGCTTCATTAGAATACTCTCTGCAGGCAAAAGAGGCAGTGTAGACATAGCCTAAGATTCCTAGGAATGCACTAGAAACCCAAGCCAGGTTGGTTTATAAATCAGCTGTAGATGCTTCATATGGTAATGAGCAGGATGAGGAAGCTCCTGGTTAAATGCCACCCCTCTCATTTAACTTACCACACTAGAGTCAGCCAAAGCACCTTTTTTCCCCTCCACTCTCCATGAAGCAGCATTGTCAGCTTCTTAAGCAGCTACAAAGGAGAAGGTATAAATGCCACTGAATGAAGACTGGTAAATTCAAATAGACATGTGTTTATTTTTTATTACTGCGTGAGCCCTTTTTAAATATTGCATGCTGTACAAAGGGGCTAATCCTGTGGTTGGGAAACAGGCTTTGGAATATCTGCACTGAAATCAAAGGTGTGATTTGCAGTGCAGGTAGGCCTAATTGAGCTATCTGTAATCTAGCTAGTTTGGTGAAAAATAGCAGTGAAGCAGTGCAGAAGATGTCTACACCCACCTAGGCCCCCTGTGGTAAACAAACAATTGCATTAATCATTTTGATTGAGTTTTTCAGTTAAAAAAAATCTCAGAGGGGAAAATGATTTCCAAAATTCTTCAACGTTTTTGACAGTTCCTGGGAAGCTAATTTTCCTCTCGAATTGGTTCTGAGAGATGTGTTAATATCCCAAATCCAAAAAATTAACTAGAAAAGTTAATAAAACCTTGACTATAATTTTAAAGCATGTGTGGTAAGTCTTGAATTAATTAATGTGAGATAACCTGACACTATATATTTGCTTGTGTAAGGGAAAGGATAATTTAATACACACTAATCAGATACAGCAGTGATGCACAATTACAGCGGCTTGGTAGGATTCCTGGAATGTGTTGGGTTCATGGAAGCATTATGTCTGATCTGGAAGGACGAAGCTTCTTTTTCTTTCTCTCTCCTAAGGGCCATATTCTGTTATTTGCACATAAAAAAGTGTCAAAGAGGTGGTCTTAGTGGAAGGGAATTATAGTTTTGATGAGTATGGGAGGGTTCCATGTGTTCCTTCTTTAGTGGCAGTCAGAATAGGGGGATGTTCAGGGCCGGCTTTAGACCGATTCCCATGATTCCCCCGAATCAGGCCCCGTGCCTAAGAAGGGGGCCCCGTGCCTAAGAGGGCCCTGCTCCTGGGCGCACGGCACATGCACGGTGCCACCCCAGGCACACTGCGTATGCGCGGCCCTGCCCCCGCAAATCGGACCCTGCACTTCCTAAAGCTGGCCCTGGGGATGTTTTTAATCAGGAGGGAGAAATTAGAGACCAGGATATGAGAAGGCTGGAAATGAGATAAAAATAGGATATCCGTGTGAAGATGATTACAGATACTGTTTGCCTTCAAAAATTCTACTCATAGGTATCAGTGGAAACTGGGCATGGAAAAGAAGAATTTGTACCAAAGCGGGAGCATTCAGTGTAAAGATCTTGCACTTATGGGAAAGGTCTCTTCATCCATGTTGTTGACCATGACTTTGGAACCTGTTGAAATGCCACCTAAGTATTTATCACAGATTTTAGACAAGACTCAGTGCAGAAGACACTTTGGGAGTTTTATTCACTTCCAGGTGGATCTCCACCAAAGATGTTTTATGTATTAATTACAGCTTCAGTAACATGGAATGCATTAGAAACATAGTCCAGATTATTTCTTGCACCAAGGTAGGCTTGATCTAAGAAGGACTAAGGCTCTCAAGGAGCTGGTTGTGGCTCCCTGATTCTTAAGATGCTACAGCTTCAACATCAGCTAGAGCAGTCTGCGGGCTGCTCTAATTTGTGAAAGCTGGCCATAATCCCTGAAGGACCACATGCAAGCTGTAAATTGCCAAAGAGAAGCAAACTTTCATTCCACATCCTTGTGGCCCCTTCTTGGATCTGATACATTCAGTCCCCCTCTGCCCTGAACATCTCTCTCACACTTAGGTTTTTCTTGCTTTGGTTTCTCTGGGGGTACATCTAGACTACATGCCTCTGTCATCAGAGGCATGTAGATTAGGCTACCAGACATAGTAAAATGAAGCGGCAATTTAACTAATTGCCGCTTCATTTAAATTTACATGGCTCAGCGTGATAGTCTGGACGCGTGGGTGTCGACATCAAAGGTATTTGTCGACCACCCATTAAATAATCGCTGCTTCCTTTAAATTTACATGGCTGCCGCGTTGAGCCGACAAACAGCTGATCAGCTGTCGGCTCAACGCGGCAGCCATGTAAATTTAAAGGAAGCAGCGATTATTTAAATCGCCGCTTCATTTTACTATGTCTTGTAGCCTAATCTACATGCCTCTGGCAACAGAGGCATGTAGTCTAGACGTACCCTTTAATATGATGCAAAGTATATGAATTAAGAATTATTGTGCATTATCCTTTATGTAAAACATTTCTTTTTCTTAACCAGGCATACCCTTGCACTAATGATAAAGAATGTGAAGTTGGGAGATACTGCCACAGTCCTCATCAAGCTACTTCTGCTTGCATGATCTGCAGAAGGAAAAAGAAGCGTTGCCACAGAGATGGCATGTGCTGCCCTGGGAATCGCTGTAACAATGGTACATAAGCAATTCTTCTTGTTTTCCTTTTATAAATGACAGTGACTGGTATACTGGCATAAACTGAGAACATATGTAAGCAGAAGACTTGTGTAGTAGTATTTCTGTGTGGGTTACAACTATTCCTTCCTCAAACCCAATAAGAAACAATTAAAAAATCTTACAACACAAGGCTTGTATAAATAAATCATGTTCTTTCTTCCTTGTGATTAGAAGAGATACTATGATTTTGCTCTGGTTGTATGAAACTTAAGACATGATTTTCAAAATTATGTACGAAACTGTATGCCTAATTTGTGGATGCAGTTATTTTGATTGCTTAAACTGTATTTCCAAGTGGAAATGGGAAGTTAAATGCATAGCTATTTACACTACATCTACACTACAAGTTTTTTCCGGAAGAAAATATACTAATGAGGGGCTCATTAGCATGAGTCGTGACATCATTAGCATATTTTCTGCCATTTCTTTTTGCAAAAGGGTTTTTTGCGCAAAAAGAAGCAGTGTGGATATTTGGGTTTTTTTGCACAAAAAAAACATTTTTGTGCAAGATCCTTATTCCTTCTGGGACAGGCATAAGGATCTTGTGCAAAACAGTGTTTTTGCATATAAAAAAAGTCCACACTGCTTCTTTTTGTGCAAAAACCCCTTGTGCAAAAAGAAACAGCTGAAAATATGCTAATTATGTCATGACTAATGCTAATGAGTCCCTCATTAGCATACTTTCTGCCAGCTCATAGTGTAGACATAGCCTTTCTGTATAATCATGCCATGACTGGTCAGGTTCACGACTCTTGTGTTAATTCAGTGCTGTTTTGTTTCACACTAATACAATGTCAATAGCAGGGGACTGTTTAATGTTTTTTAAAATTCCCCTGTCGATTGACTTTTCTGTAATTTTATAGTATATTTCTATTGATTTGACCTCTGAATCTTCCTGCATTCTTTTATATTTTTGAGTAGTAGTGGCTGACAGATTACATAAAATATGGATCAATTCACTAATTCAATAGCAAACTATGGGCAGTTATTCCTTTTCAGTAAATGTAAAAGATTAAATTCATACATGATTGACTCCTTGGAAATTGTAATTTATTCTTGTTAACATTTACATTGCTGATGCTGCAGCTGAGATTACAAGTCCCATTGTAAGAGACAGTCCGTTCCTCCCAACACCTTGAATCCAAATAAACAAGACAGATTTACGGCATGAGGGAAAACACACAGGAGAAGTGATTTGTTCAAGGTCACAAGCAAAGCCATGAAAAGAACCCATGCCTTCCGAATTTTAGTTTAGCGCCCTATTGACTGGACAACATTGCCTCTCAAACTCTATCTCATCTTTCTAACAGGTATTTCCATTTCTAACATCTCATTCCCATAGGTATTTGCATACCAGTAACTGAAAGCATCCTTACTCCTCATATCCCTGCTCTGGAAGGGCCACGCAACAAGAAAAACGGTGTTTATACTAGCAAGGACATGGGCTGGCAGAATCTGGGGAGACCACAATCCAAGCTATCACACATAAAAGGTAGGCTTGCTTTTGCAATATAGTTGGTTCCTTTACCTCTCTGGAGCAAAACAAGATACAGCAGTGCAGATCAGGCTGACTTACAGTAATCTGCTAGGAAATGTTGCGAGGTCTGGAATTGTCATCAACTGTGTATCTCAGGAATTCACAAACCACAAACAATATTATACTAATTTGCTTGTATATGTCTGTCATAGTCTCTGTATTCACAATAGCATTTGTTCTTTGGGTGTAAGACATGTCAGATGCGATGTCAATGTATCTTTCAGTTGTGGAGTTTGTGCAGGCTGCACCTTGCTTATCTTGTAATGATCATGTAATATATAGCACATGCCTTTGTGACCCTTCCTTAGTTGAATATCTCCACATCAGGCCTTAACGGTAGATTGTATTGATACAATTTGTGTATTTAATGCATTGCAACATGGTGGGCAATGAGGACTGTAAATAAACACATACTGGTTAAAGTAATGATTGTGGTAGAAACAGAAATCATCCCAAACTGCATTTGTTTTGAACTGGAACTGAATGCTGTGGCAGCTGGAGTTTTTCCATTATGAAACTTTCTTTGTGTAAATAATTTTGTGGACAGTGCACCTCTGTAACTTACTCCCCACCACATGTTGGTGTTTATGTACTTCAGATACCGGCTGATTAGCATCCTATCCCCCGTTTCTTAGTCAACAGTGGGCTAGACTGTTCTGCACTTTCACTCTGTCCCAGGCACTGAAGTATTTTGGTTGCTTTCCTTAGGGCATGAAGGAGACCCCTGCTTACGGTCATCTGACTGCATTGAGGGCTACTGCTGCGCTCGCCATTTCTGGACCAAAATTTGCAAACCTGTGTTGCATCAAGGAGAGGTGTGTACCAAACAGCGCAAGAAAGGCTCTCACGGTTTGGAGATTTTCCAGCGATGTGACTGTGCTAAAGGGCTGTCTTGCAAAGTATGGAAAGATGCCACTTATTCTTCTAAATCAAGACTTCATGTATGTCAGAAAATCTGAATGAGGATTGGAAAAATGTTACTAACAGACTGTGAATTTGTGTATTTAATACATTGCAGCAGGGCGGGAAATGAGGATTGTAAATAAACACAGAATGGTTAAAGTAATGATTGTGGTAGGAATAGAAATCACCCCAAACTGCATTTGTTTTGAACTGGAGGTGAATGCTGTGGCAGCTGGAGTTTTTCCATTGTGCAATTTTCTTTGTGTAAATAATTTCGACAGTTTGTGGAAAATGCTATTTTAAAAAAGCACAATGGAAATTATTGACATTTACCAAGCTGCATGATCCCATAACTTTTCAAGAGTTCAGTGTTGGGGTGGGATAGGTTTCCACCATGGTAATGATTGTTCAACAAATTGTATACAGCATATTCCAACACAAAGCAGTGCTTTAGAGGAAGACTTTTTCTGTTAACACGTTATTGGCTACTAAAAAATTTGTGATACATTGCAGCAGTTAGTGATGGGATTCAAAGTTACTGTGAATGTCCACACACAATTTTAATCAGCTCTGTCACTTGAAAAAAGAAAGCACTCCTGCAGGGCAAGAGTGCGAGATTTTGCTGGCCCAGAGGAAGTGGCAAAATCTCACCACACAGAGATAGCAAGACATCAGTGGCAGTTTTTCTCAAAAGAGGCATTTAAACAGTGGTTTTTTGTTTAATATATATATATAAATATATAATTATATAAATATTTAAACTGAAATGCCTTAATCAGTCCATTTTCAGTTACCATCATTAATAGGCTATATTTGTCTAGGTATACTGCTAACAAAAATGGAGCTGAGCAGAGAAAGCAAAATATGTATATGATGCATGCAGAATGATGCCCATGCAGTTGCTCGTAGGCCTACAAAATATAGTTTTCTCGCCAGAATGTGCTTGCTTTAAGAATAGTTCCATACGGTGATTTTTTGAAAAGTTATGAACATCTGAATATGGAAGGTTATAACATAAATTGTTTTGCAACTTTAACTACAACAGATGCTGCCTGCATCTGCTACAATTAGATTGCATGCTAATCAGTTAAAAGTTTCATATTATGACAGTACCAATAGGCTGTTAGTGTAAAACTGGCTTTGCTTTGGTTTGAAAAAGCTAAAATAGATTGGATTCATCTTGCATGGTCAGCAAAAAAGATTAGAGTTGATTTTTGCGAGCATCTCAGAACAGACACTGACGTGATGCTGTCATCTATGACATGCTGCATGTGATCATGTGATGTAACAAAACAGCTCAGACTGAAAAGAGAACAGGTTCTGGTTGAATGCATTCTAAGAAGCTTGGATATTGTTGTGAACATTGCATTCACATTGACTACAGTCGCTAAAGTCATTTATTAACATAACTACAGTACCACCCTGTTCGTGATCTAGAAAAAACCAAAGATCCTCACCATCTGACTTTTCTCCTAATGTCTTTACACCTCCTCTTACTTTGCTCACTTATTTTAAAGAATGATATTTGTGTCAACGTAAGTAAAGAGACAGGAGTTTCTTTTTTTTTTAAACCCATCTGATTATATGACTTACTGAATTATCTGTTCTGTATTTTAGAAGGCAATGGCTTTCCTCTTTGGTTAATCAATTCCAAATAGTTTGGGTAGAGCAGTGAGTAGTTTAAATGTAAATACCAACTTTTTACTGTTTTTTCTCTCTGTATGACACCTTTTCCCATCCTGGCATTTCTGCACCAGTGCCTTTTGTATAAATAATAGTTCATATACATCTTCTGACTCAAACTCTCTTACTGTAAATCAGATCTGAACTACACTTCTGTATGTCTGATAAGAATCTAAATTCCAATATATATACTGGATTAAAAAGAATGATTTATAATATACTATTTTTCATATCCAAGACAGTTTTTTATTGTTCTAAAGGGAATGGCCTGTAGAGAGAGGATCTCGTATTCCTTATTGTAATGATCTGATTCTGGTCTCACTGTCACAAGTGCTACATTATTTCAACTCCAATGTTTCAACAGTTACTTCAGTGCAACTGAGAACAGAAATCAGGCCTGGAAAGCGAATCATTTCAGCAGAACAGATGAAATATCTTTCTTTCTGAAACCCTTTCTTACACTGCAACAGCGCATACAGATAAGAGCAGTCACAATGATTTCAGTGTGTCTACTTTAAGAATAAGAGGTTACAAAATTGCCCTCTCCCCATGATTTGCATCTTACCTACTGACTTTCTGCATAACCCTCCCTTCTCAGCACAAAACCTAGTATTTGGAATAATTTATTTACAGGAAATGTTTAATGAGATTTATTTTCTTATAGAGATATTTCTTACAAAAAGCTTTACAGCAGAATATATATTCTGCCTGCTGACTTTGTAATTTACAAAAATAATGAACAATAAGTTTAAATATATTAAATGTCCTTTTTCCTCAAAATATTTACTTACATTCCTCACCTGCTGATTAGGTTTTCATCAGAGGGGCTGGATTGGCAGGTGCACTCAGTATTGGCAAAACATAATGAATCAAGCCCCAAAATAAATAGATTGGCTTAAAATCATTAGACATATTTTAAAATTGGGGTTCTTTGGAGTTATCTGGTTTCTGAATTTTAGGGTGCATTTGTTTAATATTTTCTTGAGGATTTTTTACAGAACTAAGAGGACTAGAAACTTTCATTTTCCAAGAAAAGCTAGGGTTTTCAGATAGTCTCTTGACTACAATTGCAGGGATTTAAAAACCTACTAAATATTTATAAAACTTTCCATAAAATCACAATAGTTGGCAATAGGGATGTTAAAGGGAAGGGCTGGAGCCGCTCCCTACTCGCCACGGGCAGATGGCTGCTCTAGCTCGTACAGAGTAACCCCTGTCTACGGTGGGCCCCGGGGCTCTTGCCTGCAGTGGGGGAAGGGGAGCTTCTCCAGCCTCCCCACCTGCCTCCCCCTGTAATCAGTTAACCAGTTAAATGCTATATTTAACCAATTAAACATGATTTTACATCCCTAGTTGGCAACACTGTACAGGCTAGAACTGAAGTCAATAGGAGTTTTTCCATTTGTGCTTTATGAAACACACCTAAAGAACAACAACAAAAATATTTTAGCTGCTCATTCAAGAAGCAGAGGTTTCTGTTGTCCAATTGATGGTATCTGTTCCCTGATATGTGGTGGAACCTGTAGTAGGTTTCCTCTCAGATAACTGGGGACACTGACTTAAATGGGAACCATATAAATGCAACAGAGGAGAATTTGCCTTGTAGTCTGTCCAGAATAACTGCTTTTCCTGCTTTTAGCAGGGGATTGGACTCAGTGACCTCCTGAGGTCTCTTCTAACCCTATGATTCTTTTAAATAAAAAATAAACCCATCAAATAGAACAGCTGCTCAGATACTCCACCAGCTCCTCAGATACACCATGGTAAGAGAACACAGATAAAAAATAGCCAGAGATTGTACTATATAACAGATTGATATCAAATATAGGCAAATATTCACAAATGTGGCACCCTTTCAAATGCAAACATTGAATAACAAAACAATAAACAAGTCATAATGAAATACTTCCACTGACAAATTGATAATAAGGGGTTAAAGCAGCTTCTCAAGCCTGTCTGTCTGTCAAAGAGAGTGTCTGTCAACATTTGTTCCAGTTTTAAACAGCTGATTTGGTTCCCTTTTATTTGTTATTTGTGACCATTTGTGTGATTGGCTTTTCAGTCATATGAATGTTTGGAGTATGTTATGAGCAATGGTGTATGGACAGAACCAAAATTATTTGCTACTAGTTGTTTGGGATTTGTCTTTTGTTAGCCTGTTTTTGGGAAAAAAATTCAAGGCCTGATTTTCAAAGCTGTGAGCATCTGTTGCTCCCCATTACTACAAGGGAATCTGACTTGCTCAAAACAAGCTATCAGTCATCCAATCAGGGAGCAGAAATGCTGGCCACAGGAAACCATTCAAACACTACAAATAGTAAATAGCAAATAAATGAACTGAACAGCGTGTAAAGAGCTGATAGGATGAAATGTGTTTGCATGGAAACGGTTCAGTCAATATTTTGAATAAGAAATAAATGTTTTGAAATTGGGTTGTGAACATTTGGGGGAAAAAAAAGCACCCTGACGTTATTGGATCATGGAGTTGCTTCCGGAATAAACAGAAGGCGGAATTTGGCTCCACCGTGACATTTCAAAAGCCTAACATCATGAAACAAGTGTTGAAGAAACTGTTGCTAAGCAACTGGGATGTTCTAGCTATAGCCACCAAAGAGCCTCTGAGATGCAATTTCTTTTCAGTAATATGCATTCACTTATCTAAAATTAATACATTTTACTATACAATGGCATAGAAACATACATCACATCATGTTACATACATAGTATGCAAATTATTGTGTTACCCACCTTTGTCTGGAGTGCTTTGTATTGCATCCTATGGTATTTATGGATTTTAAACATTTTAAATGAAAACAATTAAATTTTTTCTATTCGCTTATCCCTGTAAGTTCGACATTGCAGCATAGAGCACAGACTCTCCAAATGTGGCATCTGACTCCTACAACATGGATCATTTTGTTTTCTTGTGTCCATTACCGTCCTCTTTCTATTCTACCTTCTCTGCTAATCAATCTTCCAAAAATGGCATAATTTTGTTTTTCAGGTTTCCAGGGTTTTTTTCTTGAAAATCTGAAAAACCTGTAAGGGAGAAAGCAGAGAAAACAGGAAATTACCAAGGAAAATGTTGTTTAAAAAAAAAACCCAAAAAACCTCTCGTTTGTTTTTGGTTGAATTTTCTTGGAGTGAAGTGCAGAGCGGGAGAGAGGTCACAGGACTGATGTGCCAGCTCCCGAATGCTGGTGTGGGGGAGCCCCAGGCCTCGAGAGCTGAATCCAGAAAAGCCGGGGGCCACACATCCGACCCTCCGGCCATAGGTTCCCCAGCCCTGCGTAAGGGGAGGGGCTTTTAGAAGTGGGCGGGCTAATGCCCACCCACTCCCCTGGGTTCAAATAGTGCTTAAGGGCTTGCAATACAGTAAGAATGGAGTACGAGTGAAATAAAGCCCAGATAGGGAAACTAGGATTTTCCTTGGTGGGAGGCACAAACTAGGAAAAATATAGTTAAAAATGTCAAGTCAACTCTTCCCCAGAAGCACTAGGCATTGCTTTCTTGCTCCTTCAAATCTCAGGCTATGTCTAGACTGGCATGATTTTCCGGAAATGCTTTTAACGGAAAAGTTTTCCGTTAAAAGCATTTTCGGAACAGAGCATCTAGATTGGCACAGACGCTTTTCCACAAAAGCACTTTTTGCAGAAAAGCGTCTGTGCCAATCTAGACGCGCTTTTCTGCAAAAAAAACCCCGATCGCTATTTTCGCGATAAGAGCTTTTTTGCAGAAAACAAATCTGAGCTGTCTACACTGGCCCTTTTGCGCAAAAGTTTTATGCAAAAGGACTTTTGCCCGAACGGGAGCAGCATAGTATTTCCGTAAAAATACTGACAATCTTACGTGAGATCGTCAGTGCTTTTGTGGAAATTCAAGCGGCCAGTGTAGACAGCTGGCAAGTTTTTCCAGAAAAGCGGCCGATTTTCTGGAAAAACTGGCCAGTCTAGACACAGTCTGCGTATTTCTGGGGATCTTAAAAAAACCACTCAGTTTGGGCAGAGTTAGCATAGACAATACCCTGTGGGCAACCTAGGATTCCCAATCCTCTTCCTTTTGCTGAAAGACAGCTGCAGAGGAAGGAAGAGAAGAAAACAGGTGGCTTCTGTACTGCAAAACTCCATCTCTTCCCTAAGCTATTACTTTGAGTACCACTGCTGTGACTGACTCTGCTGGATGTGTAACATAGAGTGGATCTCATTGCAAACTTGTTTATGCTGGCAGTTCTATGTTATTTTTGGACCTGCTATTGTTATTGCGCAAGTGTCAATTACTTATTTACAAATGTCTGGTATGAATAAACTTTTTGTTTTGCTCAGCACAAGCTTGCTCTGTGACTGTATAGAAATGATTTGGTACATGATGCATTTCCTAAAGTGGAGGAATAAATCTTTAAGTGGAAATTAAAGAATGATTTGGTGCATTTTGAGATGCACCAAGATAGCTTTAAAAGAAAAAGACTAGTTAGAAGCTTGATGTTAACAACATCCCCCCCCCCACACACACACATTAACATAACATACATTTCAAAATGATAGGCAGATTAAAAACAGTGCTGGGCTTTCAGATACACCTGGTAAACACATTCCCCATAGTTCTTATCAAAGAGGCTCAAAGAGGGTATGTCTACACTACCCCGCTAGTTCGAACTAGCGGGGTAATATAGGCATACCACAATTGCAAATGAAGCCCGGGATTTGAATTTCCCGGGCTTCATTTGCATAAGCGGGGCGCCGCCATTTTTAAATCCCCGCTCGTTCGAACCCCGTGCCGCGCGGCTACATGCAGCACGAACTAGGTAGTTCGAACTAGGCTTCCTAGTTCAAACTACCATTACTCCTCATTCCATCTAAAAATCACTACCTCTTAACTAGTCAGCAAATAAGAATGAAAAAAAACAAACAAACCCAAAACCAGTCTCAGAAAGGGTTTGAGTATGGATCACCAGAAAAGAGGGAGGCCTAAATTCATAACATTTTTGGTTTGTTAATCACTCTGGGTATGTCTACACTACCCTCCTATTTCGAAATAGGAGGGTAGTGTAGACATACCCAGAGTGATTAACAAACCAAAAATGTTATGAATTTAGGCCTCCCTCTTTTCTGGTGATCCATACTCAAACCCTTTCTGAGACTGGTTTTGGGTTTGTTTGTTTTTTTTCATTCTTATTTGCTGACTAGTTAAGAGGTAGTGATTTTTAGACTGTGGATGGCTTGCAAACTGGTAACTAACCAGAAATTACGGAGTGTGAATAGCCTGGTTCTGCTCTTCGAGTAACTGACATTTTCAGAGAAGAATAACAAATATAAACAGTCATAAATAACACACTTCATATTCATGAATGCTAGCGACTGGTCAAATATTTAGAAATAACCACCCCTCTAAGCAGCAGCAAATTCAGCTCAAACCATCAAGTTGCAAACCACCTATTTTCTTCATTATTTGAGCAGTTTTCACTTGTATAGTTATACTTAAGATGGAATAAAAAATTCAGGGTGTGAGTTTTAAAAATGTGCTCAGTCAGTTTGTTGGCAAAAAATGAAAAATGGGCTGAATTTTAACCTTTCAAATGTGGCATATAGCTAGCCACTTGTCAGGGAGGAAAGGTTGCTTTGTGTGGTCCAATACACTAGTTATGTTACAGTACCCCCATTTTCATTGTGTGGTTAATTGTTTTCAACTAGAACACATAATCACTGTGATGGGGTGTGTATCCCACATCCATTCCTTCAGGGGCTAAAGGCGGCTGGGGGGGGGCAATTTAACCACTTAAGTTGCACCTGGAGGAGGAGGAAGGGAGTAACTGATTAAAGAATGAAGCTCAGCTGGGCAAGAACAGGCAGCGCCTGTAAACAATGGAGGGCTGAGGGCAGAAAGGGGTAGGAAGGTTTGCAGTCTTTTTTTTGTGGTTAGGGAGAACAGATACAGGCAGCAGTCTTAGAAAACAGCAGCTAGGTCAGACCAAACCAAACCAGACATTAGCTGTGGGGGCCACGAGCTGGAAATTTGAGAAGAGGGTGGGCCCAGGAGCTTGTAATGGGCAGTGAAGAAGTACTGCTATTGGAATGGCAGTGAACTGGAAGCCGGAGTGGAATGACTGGGGCAGAGAGCTGAGCCCTTACTTCCTCCACCCATCTGTGTCCCTCCCCCTTCCTTCCC